TGTCTTCCTGTCGGATACGGAGTGTTGAACTGTAGCTTCAGCCAGGCAGTAAACTTAGAAAGCTCTCTGGGAATGCAGGAGAACTTACCTTTACTTCATCATGAACACAAATGATTTTTCCTTTGGCTTCAGCTTTCCCGCCTCTCCGATGAGGGATTGGACTACGTGATCACCAAATAGCCTCATCTCTAATTTCTCTTTTCTTTAAGGGTCTGGTTTCAACAGGAAATAGGGGGGGGGCAGGGACAGCTGCCCAAAGCTGAGTTGAGCTCTTCTTCTCTTATCCTGCCCATGATAGCTCCACGCACACCTTCCAACTTCTGAGCATGGCTCCTGTCCTCAGAAAGCCTTGGACGGCACAAGTGAGAGCTGTTAGTGTTGGCCCGAGGTCCTTCCTGGTGACTAGCCAACATTGTTCTGCTCCTTGCAGGGGTCCCACCAATCTTGTTTGCCTCTGCAGAGCCGCAGCCTGTCACCTGGAAGATGCCGAGGTCCTGCGGCAGTCGCTCAGGGGTCCTGCTGCTGGCCTTGCTGCTTCAGACCTCCATGGAAGTGTGGGGCTGGTGCCTGGACAGCAGGCAGTGTCAGGACCTCACCACGGAAAGCAACCTGCTGGTATGTGGCCCACGGGAGACCTCCTTGGTTTGGGGAGAAGATGGTCCTGGGCTTAGGACAGCTCCAGAGGAAGAGCAGTGTGGGGTTGGGGAAAGTCATCTCCGTTGATTGGAGTGACCCAGAGCAGTTACAGAACTTTTCCCCATAAGGCTGGAATTAGGCAAAGGTGAGGGAGGAGGTGGCTTCAGAGAAAAAGGGGTCTGGTCCATGATTTGTGCTCTATTATCCTCACTCTGTTTTCTGTGAAAACCCCTTGCCATATACTCAATTTAGACAGTGCCATATAAACCATGATTGCTCCCTTAATTGATCCTGTATCTCCAACCATTTACTTCCCAAAATAGCTCCCCTTTAGGAACTGAAAACTTACAATTTCGCTTCAAATGTCTTTATTTTCTTCCAGTTACAAGGCCATTACCAGTTAGGTATTTCCATACAACATCTCCAGAAGGAGAAGGAAAGACCGAAGTACTGTGTGTGTGTGTGTGTGTGTGTGTGTGTGTGTGTGTGTGTGTGTAAAACTGGTGCCAAATATCTCATGCTGTTTCTAGAAGGCAGGCTTCCTGCCAGGTTCCTTTCTGGTCTTTCCAGAAGCATGTACAAGCCCTCTGGGACAGGCTGGAGCTCCTTCCAGGTCACCACGTGTGTGCACACGAATGCCGGGTGACTGCGGGTGTCTGTTCTGCTATCGATAGACAGCTGAGGCTAGATGATGGGAGAGGCCTCCTCAAGACATAAGAGCAAGGTTCATATACAGTGTGTTTTAGACTCAGAGAACCCAAGGAACCTTTGGGAGAACCCAGTTCAGAACCCCCTAAGACTGTTGATTTTTGAGACACATTGCATAGCCTCTCCTGAGGAGATCTCATCAGAAAGGTGTGTGTGTGTGTTTGTGTGTGTGTGCGCTAAATAAGGTCAGAGTCATAGGTTCTGTCCCCACCTCTGACACCAATGAGCAGGGGCACCTTGATCAGATATTTTTCTCTTTCTGAGCACCCCCCACCCCATTTCATTATATGTCCTGGGGGAAAGGTATTTAAATTACATTGTTTTTATCATCCACTGTTAGCATTCTGCAGTATTATAATTCTGAATCTCTGGTGTTGAAACCCCTCAACTGAAAAGAGTGGATGAGAGCCTTCTGTCTTCTCCTCAGCAACTCCCAAGGATCTTAAAAAAAAAAAAACCTTAAGGATGCAGGCTATGGGTAAATAAAGCCCCCTTGTCGAATCCTCTAGGGCCGGAGTGCAGAGGCACAAGCATAGCATTGCGGTGGAAATACACCCCCACCCCGGCTTTCCAGCCTTCCTTCAAGTTAGAATAAGGAGGCAGAGAAATGGACCAACTTGTCTCAAAATTCTGATGGAGACAACACGAGATCAACACACAGAGTAAAAGAATTAGTGGACGCCGGGAAGTTTTGAGACAAGGGGGCAAGGGTACAGGGCCGGAGTAGGCACGACACTGTAGATTACTGGGGTAAGATTGAGGCACTGTTGAAAATTTAAGCCCCAGAAGTCAGACATCTATAACTAGGAAAGATCCTCTCTCAAACTCCGGTCCCATGCCCCTCCTGTACTTAAACGGAGCCACACTTTGCCATCATTAAATGACAACACCCCGTTTTGGTGCATGTAATAGCAAGGTCCTGATAGTAAGAGCTAAAAAAGACAAGTAGGCAAGGAATGGGGACGGGGTGCTTGCTGCCGTCTGGGCAGAATCATGCAAGGGCAAGCACAGCTGTGTGCAAGATGTCGGCGGGGCCTGGGAGACCGGGTGCCCACGTGCAGGTGTGCAGGTGCCCACGTGCTGGGTGCGATGGCCTCCAGGCTCCAAGTGGCTCTGCGACCAGGGGACGGTGGCCGGTGGCCGGTGGCCGCAGGCTCTGGCCTGGCTCACGTGTGGGTGGGGCGCGCGCGCTCGCTCTCTCTCTCTCTCCAACAGGCTTGCCTCCGAGCCTGCAAACCTGACCTCTCGGCGGAGACGCCCGTGTTCCCAGGCAACGGGGACGAGCAGCCGCTGACCGAGAACCCTCGGAAGTACGTCATGGGCCACTTCCGCTGGGATCGCTTCGGCCCCCGGAACGGCAGCGGCGCGGCGCAGCGGCGCGCGGAGGAGGAGGAGGAAGAGGATGCTGCTGCGGCTGCGGCGGCGGCGGCGGCGGCGGCGGCGGCGGGGGAAGCCGGTGGCTCTGAGCCCGGCCTGCGCGAGGGCAAGCGCTCCTACTCCATGGAGCACTTCCGCTGGGGCAAGCCGGTGGGCAAGAAGCGACGGCCAGTGAAGGTGTACCCCAACGTCGCCGAGAACGAGTCGGCGGAGGCCTTTCCCCTGGAGTTCCGGAGGGGCCTGGAGCCCGAGGCGGCCGCCGACGGCGCGGCAGACGGGCCCTATCGGATGGAGCGCTTCCGCTGGGGCAGCCCGCCCAAGGACAAGCGCTACGGCGGCTTCATGACCTCCGAGAAGAGCCAGACGCCCCTGGTGACACTCTTTAAGAACGCCATCGTCAAGAACGCTCACAAGAAGGGCCAGTGAGGGCGCGGGGACAGGGGGGGAGGTCTCCTCACCCCAAGCCTCCTCCATCCCTGCATGGGCGAGCTGCTCGCTGCCGCAGACCTCAAGCCTCCTAGAGTTGCCTGTAGTCAGGAAATAAAACCTTTCCGATTTCACAGATGGCTCTGGCCTTCGATGCAGACCGCGTGAATAAAGTCAAAACACACACAGCTGTCCATTGACACCACCACGTGACCAGGTGGTAGCGTGAAGAAAACATAGCTCTACCCATTTGCCCCAGCAAACGACTCCGGGGGGCGTAGGGTGGGGGTGCAAATAGTTTGGATGGCTCAGGGTTGGTTCTCTGTCCAACATCCCTATGATGTGCTTAGCTGGGAGCCTGTCCCCAAAGCAAGATTCCTACAAGAGTGATGACCTTGGGGGCTGGAAGCCGGGTGGCACCACCAAGGCCCACTCCCCATTGGAAAGGGCTTTGGGGCTGTCACTCAGGAAGCTCCGACATTCCTTGCCATGTTGAGTCCTGATCTGTGAGCTCAGGCAGGTCCCTGCACCCTCCCCGGATTTAGTTATCTCACCTGCCCCTTCCTTCTTGACCTAAGGGCAAGGATAAGAGAAAAGAGACGTCATTATTTGATCAGGAAAATGTCAGGGTTGATAGCGGTTTCAATTTGGTTATTCACATATGCGCAAGGCACGTGATCTTACCCTCTTCCGCAGATAGACGCATCGTCTCTCCAGGCTCGAGTCTTAGGGGTTCTGGTTTCCTACCTTGCTGTGTCTCCCCAGCCCTCCCTGTTGTTCAGTCTTTCATTCTCAAGTTCTCCCCGAAGACCTCCACTATCCTAGTGCGTTAACCAGCCGGCGTCCAGTTGCTCCCTATGCCGATGATCCGCATTAATACATATATTTAAAAAGAGCTTGTTAGTCTCACAGTCCCTGGCCCACCAACCAAAGCAGCGCCCCCTACACCCCAATTTCCTTCCCATCAGGTGCAAACTTCTGGGGCAAAGTATGTAGAGCCCATGTCAGCCATGTTCACTCTCCTACCCAGCTTTTCAGCTCGTGTTTCCTGGGATGAAGGTCCTGTTTCATGTCTGTTGGTCTCATTGCCGCCCTTCGGTTCTTCACGGCCTGGACCCCATTCCTAACGCCACCTTTGCCCACCTTACATCATCTTGCCTCTTTCAATGCAAGCCTAGGCTCGAGACCCCCTCTTCTAGGCCAGGCATACTCTCATCCAGTGGCTCTGCTCATTTTCAGGGCTCCGGCGGTCAGCTCCCTCTCTTGTAGGGCATGCCGTCTGTCCAGGAGGGCAAGCTACTTGCTGTGTGTCTGTTATGCCCCTCCTCTTAGAGAAACTCCAAGCTCTGCAGGCTTGCATTATATTTGGTCTCCTTGTGGTGTCTTCACAATGCTGGGGTCAGCGTTTTGCAGCCCGGTGTTGACAATGACAAACCTATCTTCACTTAGATTAGGCATCCATGGGCCACACCCATCAAAGCCTGGTGTATTTGCTCATAACCCCTTATATTTGATAGACATTCCACAAAAACATGATGAGCCCTGGGAGTCCTGGTGGGAGGAGAGTAGGAAACTCCAAAGAAGCTCTCCCTAATGTAGGTCATGGGAAATGAGCTACAATGAGGAACAGCCTGGGCCCTCCTGAGGATGCTCCCTCGCTGGGGATCCTCACTTAGTTCCATCTCTAACATCTTTCCCCGCCCCCTCCATTTCATTAGAACCAGGTAAAGCAGGGTCGGTGGGGGTGGCTAAATGCCACTGGCACACTGTTGATATTTTCAGATTCCGGTTTTATCTAAGACAAAAACAAAAAACCCCAGCCATTTCCTTTTAAGAATTCAAAGAGACAGCCATATGGTGACAACATTGACATTTATTTGAAAAGGGCATTGTGAAGGCTCATCGGGAAACCACGACTAATAGTCCTAAAGAATGACTTTGGAATAGTCCTTCCCACACCCCCTGCCTCCCCAGAAGGAAAACTAATTTGATTCAACAAGTTTAAAATACAGAGAACTGCCACAGGTGCCGATTCTGCACTCACATATAAATAAGTCGGCTAGTTTATACACAACGTTGGCAACTACTAACTACATTAAACACATGCATGGACACAGGCACATACACACTCAGCCAGGGCATGAAGGTCTAAAAGAACTCAGACACATTGAGATGGATGGGCTGCAGCATCTATGGGTGTTCAGTGCACGCTTTTTACCCTAGCACTCGGGAGGCAGATCTCAGAGATCTCAAAGCCATCCTGGTCTATAGAGTGAGTTCCAGGACAGCCAGGGCTGTTACACAGAGAAACCCTGTCTCAACCTCCCCATACACACCACCACCAAAAAAGGGGCAAGTGCTGGGCTCAGGAGACCCTATGCTTCCTGAAGGAGCTGGCTGGCGCCAGGGGGCAGCCAATGGGGCCATGAAGTTCTTCCCTCTAGCCCACGGCTTCTCCTTATCACTCCCCCAGGTATCCAGGATCAAGACCTCCCATGGTTCCCCTCCTGCAGTCTTTAGATGTAGACCCAGCTTAGGTTATGGAGCCATAGAAACCAGACTTTTATATTAAAGAGACAGAGGTAGCAGTTTTCCTTGAACCTTTTCCCCCAGATTCCAGAGGACAGGACCCCTGTGGCCAGAGAAGGTCAAGGGGAGCAGATGCAGCCTGCCTAATACGACCGTCTCCCACCTTCCAGTCTGCTTTTAAACAACATTCAGACCCACAGCTCAAGACTTCCCTTTCCCCCGGGCCCCCAAACACAGCCAGCCGCTCATTCTCAACAGCATCTCTGCAGCAGATGGGGAGGTCTAGGACAACAGATCACTGGAAGGCGCCATGACCCAGGGATCCCCCTAACCCAAAGATACCCGGAGGAACCTTAGGGCTTTTCCAAATCCCACTCCAGCTGAACTGTGTCCTGTGGGACCAGGAACAGCCTGTGCATGGGTAGTATACAGGACAGGGCTGCTCTGACCAGGGTCCTTGGCCCAGGCCTATGTTCCCCTGCACTGTGTAGGTCAGGGACCCGGACACAGGACATTTTTAGGTTTTCTTATGTGGTCATTGAGGAGTCATGGAACCATTTATTTCTGGTCTTCAAAGTAAAGAGGAAACAGGCTCAGTGCAGGGACAAGAGCAGCTGCTTCTGGGTCACAGGTATTTTCTGTCAATCCACTTCTTACGCTTGCTTAGGATCGACCAAATTAACTTCTGAACCTCAAACACACTCGTGCCCATTAGAGTCTGTCATCAGGAGGCCACCGTCTGGCCCTGGCCTATGAAGCCAGAGCCCTGGGTGGTGGTGGTGGTGGTGGTGGTGGTGGTGGTGGTGGTGGGCTGGGGGCCAGTTGGCCTTAAAGAGTTGGCTGGCTCCTTTTGGCTCTGGCTTACAACAGAGAGGGTGGTACAGAACAGGGCAGGAGACAGCGCTACCAGACACCAGAGGCAAGGAAGGTGAGAGTCCCACTGGGTTCCTCCCCAGCGCCCACCCACTCTGCTTTTACCTCTCTTCCCCAGCCTTGGGATGGAGTGACAGACCCCTGTGATCGCCATCTAGACTTCCTGACTCCGAGGCATACTCGGCCAGGATCGGATTCTGCTCCCTGTCAACAGGCACCCCAATATCTTACTGAATATCAACTTAAATTCTACCCAGAAGAGGGCACACCAATGGCCCAGCTCTCTAGAAGCAGCATGTCCCCGCTAAGCAGCCTGGGTGCGGAGAAAAAGAGGACGGACAGAGAGAGGGGCTGAGGAGGAGCAGATGAGTCCGCAGAATTGGAACTCGGTCCCCTTTCTCCTGTTGCCGGGGCAGGGCTGAGGGACAGAAGTATCTGAGTGGGGCTTGTGTAGGCCCCTCATGCTCTAGGAGGTCTCCAAGGAAGTGACTCTCACAACCCACAATCAAGGTCAAGATACCTCAGGGGTGGACACTGATGTCACTTGGGAACAAGAAAGAAACTGGCGAACTCTTTATCCAAGCCAGGCCTGGTATAAGGGATGTGGCAGGCAGGTGAAGGAAGGTGTTTTTAGCTCAAACCTTAGCTTTTCTCAGTTTCTAAAGGGTCACTTGCCTTCGTGCTTTTTTAAAACTTCTTACTAAAGAGATATTAAGGAAAAAAACCTAAGTCCATGCTTATAAAGTTGGATTGAGCAACAGCCACATGGCTCCAAAGTCACAGGCCACCTCGTCCTCAGGGACCTGAGATCATGCAGGCCATGCAGGAGCCATGAGCCCATAGCTCAGTGCAGAGACCACGGGAAAGAGTTGCATTAGAAGTGAAGAAACTATGGGGACAGGGGTCAGACAGGCCCCATCTGTGACATTTATCACATGTGCAACGGGGATGAACATGTGTTCCAGTTCTCCTCACTCTGGAAAATGTTCCCACCTGTCCTAGTGAGCGGGCTGTCATCATGAGGGGTCACAGGCAGGGCTGTGATCTAGAGCGTCCCAGAAACGGCTCCTTTATGACCCCAGGTCACGCTGCCTAAAATTACACCCTGGAAAGGACTCCTGCAGGTCACCAGATCTACGCTCTCTTCCTAAGAAGCAAAATCTCTAGAGGCAGTTTGAGAGGAAAACAGCTCAGAAAACTCATGGGAAGTTTAAAATGGAAAGAAAGGACCGTCCTGGGCCGTAGGGTGCTCCCACTGGAAGAGGCCTGGGGTGCTGCCAGAGGCCTCCTGGGAGGCACAAAGGCACCCAGAGGGGCATCAGGAAAGGGTCGAGTGGTCCTTTCTGCACCCACCCAGGCCTCGGTTAGCTGCCCCCCAGCACACGTGAGTCACAGAGGCACAGGTAGGTGGCACAGAGGGAAAACGGAGCCAAAGGGATTTCCACCACCTCTGCCCAGGCCACAGCAAGGCCGATTAATTGTCCCCAATGTCTTAGACTTTGCCCAGAGGGGGAAAATATTTCAATCCTAGTTGTTAAATCTCTTTCCTTGAACCCCAAAGCGACACTTGCTCATTTGCCCCCTCCTCTGCCCCCAACCCTCCCAACCTCAACAAACAAACCAACACACAGTTCTGCTGGGAGCATCTTCCAGGAAGCAATGTGGACCGGCCTCAGGGCCCAGCATCTTTCTCCCCCGCTTTTCAGTCCTCTAGAACCAGCTGGCCTGCTCAGCTTTCTCTCAACCCAGAGGGTGTGGAAACACTGTGGGATATTTGGAAGAACGACATCAGGGATCAAACTTAACTACCCGGGAAACCTCCAGAAGAGAGAGAACCGGGGAAGATCCGCCACAGGCTTCCTCTGGATAGAGGAGCTGAGAAGACACAACACAGCAGAGACACAGACTGGTCACACTGTGCCTTGCCGATGCTGCCACCCAACCTAGGGGAAGCCGTCCCCCTCCATCCCCAGTCTGTTGCTCTTCCGCCAGCATCTCTACCCCAGCTCCCGCTCTAAGTGCTCAGCATTCATCGATAGTAGAAAAAGAGACACAGATAACTGGAGATTAAAGAAGAGGCCGGGCAGGACACCGGAGACTAGGAGGTGAGAGCAGACATCTCTCATACTGTCACTTCCTGATGGGGGGGGGGGTTCCTCAGCTTCCCCGAGTACCATCTATGGCTTCCTTAGACCAATCACGTCTTCATCAGGCTCCTTCCCTCGGGGTTGGCTGACACTCCCTCATAGACACATTCCCAATGGAAGCTTCCCAGGCCCCTCTGCTTCTCGGTGGAGACACCCTCATGATTCTCTGTCCCTGGCTGATACAAAAGGGAAGACGGGTGAGATGCTCATTAGCCCCAGGGGGCAGGTGACTGGATATTCCTTGTGGAAGACCAGGAGGAGGCAGGAGGGCCACCGAGGACCGGAGGCTCCGTCTTTGCTCAACTTGGGAAGAGCCACTGTCCAAGGTGACTATTTCTCAGCTCTCCCAGCTAGATTTCCAGATGGTGGGAGTGGGCAGGAGGGCGGTCCTCCCACAGGGTCCTCTAAGGAGTTCCGTCTCTTGGAAGTCAGTACACACACAGATCGGGGAACTTCATCTCGTAGACGGGGATGGAATGGTTCTGTGGCTGGCCATAGGCTGCAGTGATGGTCCCTGAAGGGCTTGGAGGGGGCCTAGGGGCACATGGAAGAGAAAGGTGTGAAACAGGAATTGGGGTCCTATCCTTGTGCAACTGAACCCAGGGCCTCAAACTCACAGAGATCCACCTGGCTCTGCCTCCTAAGTGTTGGGATCAAAGGCGTGCGCCACCGCTGCCTGGCTTCAGTTTCTCTTTAAAACTCATGCCATTCCATGAGTTCCAGATTTTCAAGATGTTCTAGAATCTTCAGTCCAGTCAAGGCTATGGCAGTGGCTCTCAACCTTCCCAAAGCTGCAGCCCTTTAATACAGCCCCTCATGTTGTGGTGACTCCAACCATAAAATTATTTGGTTACTACTTCATAACTGTAATTTTGCTACTGTTGTGAATTGTAATGTAAATATCTGATGTGTGGGATATCTGATATGTAACCCCCCCAAGGGGGCCGTGACCCACAGATTGAGAACTATTGCTCTATGGTGCCATTTTAGAAATCAAGTACTTGCCCAGGACACGAAGGCTCCTGGCCTTCTCTAGGCCTCACTGAGCCAATCTCTTGCCCTCTTCATGGTGGCTGGGAACAGAGGTTGGGGGTGGAGGGAGGGCTGCAAGCAGGTGTGAGAAGGGGTCTTAGGGTTCCGCCCTCCCCCCTGACGCTGGACACCGAGGTAGGGTCTCCTGTCTGTGCTGCCACTTACCGGATGGTGATTTCAAAGATCTGGTTGAGCTTGCTCTGCAGTAGCGATGCCTAGACACAGACAGAAGGGAAGTGAGTTTCGGGCACCAAGAGGGTCAGCTGCCACCTCCCTGCCACCTCCAAGGACATCTGGAAGCTTCTGACTGTAGCAACCAGGGTAGGGTAACCAGGTAGGTGTGCTCTCATCCCTGGCACCTGTCTGTTGGACTTGAACATTCAGATCAGGGACAACCACCCACCAAAGGCTGGCTGGGGACTCAAAGAGGGCCAGGAATACCAGGGAGCATTTGGGCAGGCTTCTGCTCCTTAGTATGGGTCGCAAGGTCTGTTGGGCATGGGGTCAGGAGACCGGAGCTGACGACATTGCTCTTTCTTTCTTTTTCTTTTCTTTTACAATACCATTCAGTTCTACATATCAGCCATGGGTTCCCCTATTCTCCCCCCTCCCACCCCCTCCCCTTACCCCCAGCCTACCCCCCATTCCCACCTCCTCCAG